CCAACAGAGTGGGTGAATAGCCTTGCTTTTTGCTTTTTATGTACTGCAGGGAAAGCTCACATTAAATTTGTTTTAATCTATTGATTGGGAATGTAATTGATAGCAATGTGGTGAATGTAAAAAAATGCCAAGTCAAGCCTAAATGTGGATGCCACATAGAATGTATTATGATGAGATCGAATATATGATAAAAATTAAATATGACATTTGAGTTCTAGATTGCAGGATCTCTGCCTAACTCGTCCCTCCCCTAACACTGTGTTGGTGTCTTATGAGCTTTCATAGGTCACATGGTCTGAACATTTTTTATCAGCTGTAGAGAGAGGAGTCACTAGAAACCCAGGCAGAAAGTGGATAGAAGGTGCCTGGGGACCATGGGAAGTTAATCATTTTCTCTAGGTATTCTGCTTACCTAGGTTTTCACTTAGGGCACACGGCCAGCAGACACAGTGATTGAGAGATAACTTAGCATGGTTTCTACTCAGTGTTTGTAGAAAAAAACCAACTAAAGCACATTTCATTAAAGGAGTTGAGTATTGATTGTCTCCTACTTACATTTTTTTTTTTTTTTTGGCTGACACATTATTCGTAGATTGGTTTTTAAAACTTGAAGCTCAGTTTCCTAAAGAATGTTACAGGTTTTGAGATCCCGAAGATGATACATAAAATTCTGTTTAACTCATTTTGTTATCTCTCTGTCTTTTTTTTTTAATGTTGGGAAAGGCAGTTCCAACATTATGTCCCTTTCAATCCAAACAGCTATAAGGCACATATTTCAAACCCAGCTCAGGCACAAAGAATGGGCGTTGGACCTGGAACACGTCCTTATCAAGAGATAAAAAGAGTCCACGCAGCCAATGCTGGGCTTATTGTCATCTGTGGAAACACCTCTCCATTTCAGCCTCAACCCGTGCTTCTTTGATCTGCTCGAACATGTACATCAGTGACCTCAGGCATGCTCCAGCTTTCGGTATTTCAGACTCCACTGGAGAGGTTGGGGTCCTTCTACTGTGATACCAGAGAGGTATGTGTAGGGCTAATATGCAGGGGGCTGGAGACCCACTTGGAACTGATAGTGCTCTGTCTCCTCAGGGAAGTTTCTTCAGGGGTATGTGGGGTAGTGTTGTCCCATCCAGTGTGTGTGTTGTGTTTTCCCATGGCTTTCTGGTATCAAGATGCAGTGGGCAGGAGTGTTGGGATTTCCATTCTGGTGGTTCGCAACGTGATGATCTTTGCTCTCCTCCTTGTAGTTGGAGCCCTTTTCTCCCCAGGTTTTGGCAACTGGTGCATGTTCTCACTTGTCATCTATCGATCATCAAAATTTTTGAGATGCTACATGTCTTGAGAGGAGACAAAGGGGAATGAGATAGTTTCTGCCTTGAAACAGTTGGCAGTCCAGCCGTGTTGATGTAGCAAACATTGTCAGTGGTATTCTCACATCCATCCTTCTTTTTTCTTTGCCAAGAGGCCTCTGATTCTGTTGGGGTAGGAGGAATACATATGAGCCCCAGAGGATAAATCAAAATTAGTTAGTTATAAGCCAGTGAAGCTAAATTCTGTGCATTAATTTGAATTAGACTACGATGCTAGGAAGGTTTGGGACGTTTTGCTTTCCCGATGAAAGGGAAACTCGTGCCTGATATTGCTCCCTTTCTCTTCTTCCTGCTGTGAATAGGGACTTGACTGATGAAGCAGTAGTAGCTATCTTGCCACCTTGAGGGAAACCCTAGGGAATTAAGAGTCAGAAAAATCCCAATTTGCCACTGTCAGTTGGATTTTGTGGCACTTGCAGCTGAAAAAATTGCTAATGGTTAAAGGGGAGGAGATGAGAATGCTGTAAGGCAAACGGCACTTAGGGCTGTAACAGGGACAGGTGACGCTGGGTGATGCAGGGGAGGGTTCTTCATGAAGGATAGAACGTTTTGGATTTGGGCAGGTCTCTGAGGAGAGGTGTGGTTTAGACCAGATCATAGAGGGAGGGAGGAATTATAATCACAGAGAAGTGCTTATGAAGGGGCAGGTGTATCGCAAAGCTTGGGTCCACTGGGGGTTATGTGAGGAGCTGAGGGTGGCAGGGATACGTCATGTAGAGTGTAAATTGTAGATCATAACTCTGGAGAGGTTGCTCAATGCCCTTTGTAGAGGACCCTGCAGACCAAGGTGGAATTTGGCCTTAGCTGGATGAGAGCATTAAGGAGGTGAGAAAGTGACCTAATCGGGGGTGCAGTTCAGAAAGATTGTCTTGGTGGCCGTGTTTATGATAAGATTGTGGGGGCGGGAGATCAGAGATGGAAAAACCACCAATTTAGGTTACTCCAGTAGTCCCAGTGAGGAAAAAATAAAGTTCTGAAATAGATGTGCTTATGAAAAAAAAGAGAGCTAACTGAGACACCTTAAAGGGAGAGTGGGCACTTGGCACTTGATGGAGGTGGGGCCTGAGAACACCTACCCTTCCTGGAGTAGGCACCTGGAGATGAAGTTTCTTCAGGGTTTTTCCTTTCCTGGAACACACACACACACACACACACACACACACACACACACACACACACTCCGCCTCCCGCCTTCCTCTTGATCCTCACCTCTCTAGAGACTTCAAAACCAGGCTCAAATTTTATTTTTGAAAGATTTTATTTATTTATTTTTAGACAGAGGGGAAGGGAGGAAGAGAGGGAGAGAAACATCAATGTGTGGTTGCCTCTCATGCACATGTCCTGACTGGGAATCAAACCAGCAACACTTTGGTTCATAGGCTGGCGCTTAACCCACTGAGCTACACCAGCTAGGGCTCAAATTCCACTTTAAAAGAGTCCACATAGGAGAATGGATCACCTTTGTTATGGCCATACAACATACCAATCAGTCACGGAAAGGAATGAAGCAGTGATACACACAACATGGGTGAATCTCAAATAAATTATTCTGAGTAAAATATGCCAGACCAAAAGAGTGCATTCTGTGATTCCAGTCATATGAAGTTTAGGAACAGGCAAAAAAAAAAAAAAAAATCTATAATGAGGAAAAAATCAGAATAGTGGTGGCTTTTGGGGGTTGGGGATTGACTGGGAACCGGTATGAGTTTTCTCAAGTGACAGACAAAAGTTTGGGTCACAAAAGCATATGCTTTTGTCAAAACTCGTAGAATGCTACACTTCAGACCTGCATTTCATTATGTAAACTTTACCTAAAAAAGTAAACAAATACTGTACTATAGTTAATGATATGCAAGCAGAAGAACCTAGGGATGAAGCATACTGATATTTACCACTTGGAAATGCATCAAAATATGGTATCTTGCTGGCTGGCTAAATATGTGCTAAGTGATGGGTAAATGGGTGTTCAATGTATAATTCTTTTAACTTTTCTGTGAAATGGTTCAAAATAAAATGTTGGGGGTGGGGATCTGAGTTTAAGTTTGCTAATTCACCCGTTGATGAGGACTGCGGTGAAACACTAACCTGCAGGCAAACTGGCCTTTTGAGGCTGGCTATGACCAGGGGCTGAAAAAGGGGCGGTCGCATTCAGATGCCTGGTGGGTGCAGAAAGGCTTGTTTTCCTGAGTTCTGGTATTAAGTCTGCTGCCCCTGGCAGACTAACCCTTTATTTCTTCAGGGTTTGGCTTGCATGTGTCTCTATGACCCAGGGGTGATGAAGTAGAGATCACGTAAAATTTGTCTCCCAATAAATGTTTCATATTTACTTTATTGACTGCAAAATTGTTAGAAATACCGCACGTGATTTGTTCTTTTTTCTCCAAGAATAAAGAGGTTTGACAGAAATGAAATAGAATACAGAAACACTTTCTGGTCCACGTGTGGTCTCCTGGGAAACAAAAAGGGCAGGAGCAGATGATTAAAAATGGCTACTGGTGCAATTCACCTGTCACCAGAATAGCATGTCATGTTGGTTTTTAGGGCTTCTTTCCAGTTTGGCCAGAGGTTCCATCCCCTTCATGAGCAGTATCTTTTCACTGAGTCTCTAATTCTATTCTGGGTATTCATTTAATTATGTATTTCTTTTCTCCCAGATGGGAACATCCTTGATCACATGGTTCAGCCTTCCAGAGATCATTATTTTTCTGACCTCTTTCAGAGTTGGCCAGCCAATCTTTCCCTCATAAAGTCATGTTGCTTAATTAGGTCATTTGCTGTATAGTTTTTAGTTTAACTTAAAAAAAATCTTGTTATGGGACATTGTTATCAAGTTTGCTTACTATGTATCCCTTTGAGCTACTGATATTACCTTCATATGTATTTTATTACATATTCAATAAGTCTTACCTTCATATGTATTTTATTACATATTCAATAAGTCTTTAGTTCTTAAAAAATAGATCAGCAACATATAGATCTAATCTTTATATTTTCCTCCAATTTCATATATATTGACTTCTTACAATTTGCTTGTTTTTGTTTTGCTTCATTTAGATATACCCTAGAGCTAGAAAATAAAATTTGAGTTATTTTTCTTCCTTACCAGCACTCTCAGTGGTTTACAACCTTGAGCAGCTTCAGCATCATCGAGGGTGCTTGTTTAAATGCCTTAGCCAGGTACTGGGGATGGCATTTTGAGAAATGTGGCTCTTAGGACGTGGATGTTACATAATTACAACATAAAATGTGCTAGCCTGAATGTTTAGAATGCGCTTGTGTTTTGTTATTTACATTTTTGCCTCAAATTATCATCACCTTATTGTTTCATAACTCAATCTAGAAAAAGTAAGACTTTGACTCCATATTGAAAGATGAACCAACCAGGCACCATGAGAGGAAGGCCAATGATTTCCCAATAATTGGTCTTTGGAATTTTGTGTGACCCTTAGCGAATTTAATGTATTTCTTTCTACACTTTTAAGCTGACTGTGAAGATAAACTGCCATAGGAGTCTTTGAAATTTCATGTGAGATGTTCGAAGAATAACAGGAGGCCAGCACTTATGAAGTAGTACAACGTAATAAGAAATAATTGTATTTATTAAAGAAATACACAAAAATGGTTAAGTAAAACCAAGTGGTTTCAAAAGTCTAACTGAAACTGAAAAGTCCCCTGCTGTTGCTCCCTAACCTCAGCTGTCCTTGATTTGGCTGAGTATATATTTATCAGTTGGAAATAATTTTCTTAGAATTTAAGGCATGATCCTATTGTTTTGTTTTTCTTTTATTCCCTCTTTTTCTCTTTCCATCTGAGCATCTCAGATTTGGTGGGTCCAAAACCAAAATCAAACTCCATCAGAAAATTCCATTACCTCCAACTTCAAAATGTATCTTGAGTCAGTTTTTTCACTCTGCTCAACCCTGTGGTCCAAATTGCCATCATCCCTCAGCTGAACTTCTAATTGGTGTTTGGTCTGCTTCTGTATTTTTTTAAACTGTGAAATAGTTAACAAACCATCTATAGCTTTATACTTTTTATTATACAAAAATTATGAAGATCTTACACACAAAATCATAAACATGGCGAATGCTTTAGGTGTTTAGCATTCACTGGTCCTGTACATGCCAGGAGCTGCTAAATGCAAACACCCAGGGCCCTAACAGCTGAAGTATATTCAGCCCATACACAGGGTGGGGAACTGGTGACCCTGGGAATAGCCCCCCAACAACGATGAGTAGGGATAAATACTCCAGTTTGCTTCCCCTCCATTTCCCAGAAGATATATCAGCAGTACTGAGCTTTTTAACCAATGGGAACCTGCTCACTGATCTTGAATTAGCTTACCTTCCACTGATACTTTTATTTAAATTTTAGTCTTGGGATCTGCTTTTGGGGGAAACCCAATCTAAGCCAGTAATGTATGCATTCAACTGTCACAGGCCTTCCAGGTTGTTTTTAGTTTTTCAACTAAAATTAAGGCTGCAACATATTTCTATAATTCTCTTCATATATATGTAGAAGGTTTTCTCTTGGTATTTACCTGGTGGTGGAATTGCTGGGTCAAAGTGTTGTACATCTTCATCCTTAATAAATATTGTCAGCATTTTAAAAGGCTGAACGTCAAGTATTGGTGAGAATGCCACATCTGGTGCAGGTGGAATGGTACCTTACTAGGGTTTTAATTTGCATTTCCCCAGTTGCTAAAGGGAATGTATATCTGTGCGTGTATTTATGGCACTTGAGTTTCCTCTTCTCTAAATGGTTTGCTTCTTTATCTTACTAATATCTGAATTCTAAAAATTCTGGATACTAGTAGTTTTCTATTATGTTCTTTGCAGAGAGCTCCAGTGTTTTCTTGTGGTTTATAAATTTTACACAGTATTGATTTCTGTTCTGTGTGATCTGTTTTTTTCCTCTGTGAAAGATTTTTAGGAAATTCCTTTTTACTCCTAATGTTCTGTAGCCTACTCTTCCTGCTGAACATAAAGGGCTCAGCTTATTACCATAATTAATTTTTCATGACAATAAGCACATTATTTCAAAGAACCTAATCACAATAGACACACCTAATGCATAAAATAGCACATCCAGCTGTGATACTGTCAACAGTTCACTACATAATTTTTCCTACATTGAAAATTTTGGATACTATTCCAAATTCAAAAAAAAAAAAATGGTGCAATGAATACTCTTGGGTCTGCCTCTTTCTTCAGGATTAATTTCTGGAAGTGAAAGTTCTAGGTCCAAGCCCAGATTATTTTGAATTTTAACTGACTGATATTGCCTAAAAAGGCTGTACCAATTTACAAGGCAGAAAATGCTATTTCTTTGGATACCTAAAAATCCAAATATTTGCTAACATGTTGCGCAAAACATGTTTTAATACTCATTTTTTAATTATGTGAAGTTTATTTTCTAACTTAATAATTTTGGTTTCTAGCAATATCCATTCTCTTTGAATTTTTAATTTAGCCATATGCTTGTTATTAGAGTCTTTCTTTGTGTGAAGAGTAGCCTATTCTCGTTCTATCATTGTATCATCCCATGGAATCTCACTCAAGATCAGAAACAAAATTTTTAAAGGTCTTAGACACTTCTTTTAATCATCAAAAAGGTAGTCTTCTATGTGCCTCTTTATTATCCCTATGGAACTACTATAGTTCTCAGCCTAACTGATTCCCTGAGTGAACACAACTTTTTCAGAAGTGTGATATGCATAGAGTAATTCATAGTCCCTGTTTTGACCTAATTTTCTTTTACTTGAGTTCTGACTGTTCTGTTTATAATCCATTTCTGACATTTGGACAAATCTCCTATCTCTTTAGCTCTGGATTTCGAATCATGCACCAGCAGACTCTCCCACTGTGATGTCTTGGTGGTGTGTTACCCTAGGCAGGTGCAGGGGATCTAATCCTGGCCCTTGATGGACATGCAGACTGTTAGAGCAAGAAATGATTCACAAATAGTATCGGACACAGCACAGTTAAGATTAATACTAATTAATAAAAACACATTGCTTACAAATAATTACCCATAGATCTAGAATCAACAAAAGTCTCTTTTTCTAATGTTAAATGTGTGATTGTTTGCAGAGGATGGGGAATCAGAAAACACCTTCACATCAATCGTTCTTTTCATATACTTCAAATTTGTACTTTATGCCTCTCTCCTCCTGGACATCAGAAGGAACACCTGGGTATCTGTTAAAGAAATAGACATATAATTAAGTAATGTATCAATTAAAAAGATAACTTCTCTGACTCAGCCAAAAGGCATAAACCATTGTTAAGCTGAGTGATTATGCAAACATACTACATATATAAACAAAAGGCAAATTTCAAAGTGTATAGAAAGTTAAAAAACAAAAAGGGTAATTTCTCGTCCTTTCCTTCTGATTCCTAATTCTCCTCCCAAATACTAACTGCTGTAAGCAGTTTCTCTTTTATCTTTCCACTCCATCACTCAGTTAATATAATATTTCTTAAGAACATTTTGCAAGTCTTTGACTTGGTATAAGATTTTCTGTTTGAGGAAAAGAAAAACAAAATAAAACCACCAACAAAAAAAGCAAAACAAAACCCAGGTCTTTGACTGAAGGCTGTTCTGACCACTCCAGCTTCCAACCTAAAGCCTGATGCACTTCCTTAGTATTGTGTGGGCTGCATCTCACTGTGGTCCAGGAGGGGGCCAGGAGCTCCTGCTTTACTAAGACTCCTGTCTGAGTCTGGTTCTGTTGTGTGACACTTAGCTATCAATAAAAAGTCTTCATCCTTATAGAGAATATACTATTGTGAGCTCATTACATTAAGTGCTCTACAAACACTATCTATTAATATTACTAGTTTGTTTTGTTCCCCTATTTTCTAAACTCACTGTAGGCAGGGATAATACAGGAAAAAATTTAAATCTCTTGTGATAGCCAACACAATTCTGGTCTCAAACCAACACAATAAGAGATATCAAACTTTTGTTGACTAATTAAATTATGACAGCTGATAAAAACAATTACATACATGAAATAATAGCATAAGGAAAAGATTTTTTTCTTGAAAAATTTGTATTTCAGGGGAAGAAGCTATGTTTCTATTTACTAACCATTTTCTGAGCTGTTTGTTTTAGTAGCAGGCTAGGTTTTTCTTTTCTAAAGAAATGATTTTAGTAGGCCAATTTTTAACCATAATTTTAATATATTTGGAGTAAGTCACCAAAAGCATCACATAATTTTTATGTGTGTAAAATTTGCAAGACTAGCAGGATTGTCAGTTATTAAGATAACAGCAAAGTATCAGAGTTATTTCTAAAACCATAAAGAAGAACTTAAAAACAGCTGCTGGCTGGACATGATCACTAGTCATAGAATTAATGAGAATCTTCTCTGTAAACCCAAAATTTAATTCTTCTTAAGACTATTTTTACATTCTATAATATTCACATTTTCAGTCTGTTTTCATGAATATAACCAGCTTATAACTATAATTTCAAATTTTTCTGAAGAGCAAACTGCCTAAGAGGTACATTTGAACTCTGAGTTTAAGTCTAACAGGGTTTGAAGGAAAAACCTCCTTGTTATGAACCACCCAGATAGAGATTTCTCTCTATAATCTTCAAGCATTTCAAAAGAAACGTAAGATCTGAACTGACAAAGCATCATGAGAATAATAGAGGTGATTTGCTAGAAAGTCTAAGAAGTAGGTAAATACAGTTCTTGACACAGTTATCTATAAGAGACAAAGCACAACTAAAACAAAATGAAGACACCACAGAAACCATAGTCCGAGGAGGAGAGAGATGTACAAAGAAGTGGACAAATATGCCAGGGTCCTGCTGGACAGACAGGAAGTGATGAGAACAGAAGAGGAAACATCAGCCCATCTGAAACCTACTTGACGTTGTCACTGATAAGGGGCATCTGTCCCAGCTCTGGAGCCAACTACTGCCTCCAAGGCCTACCTCTGGTCTTTTTTCCTTTTATGGAATGGTCACATGGAAGGTGAGTTAACTAGAAAAAAGAAGCCTCTTTGGGAGTCATTAAGCAAAAAACTGCTGGCATAAAATATTGGGCTCTGCTTGTTGGGTTGGAGCATACTGTGAAACAGTCTGAGATATATAGAAAGATTTCTTCTGGCAAGATCAATGAGGGCAGAGCTCTGGAGGACAGGCTGGCTTGGTGCTGTCCAAAGAATAACTGCACAGACGATGGCCCACACTGGTGGGGGGGGTGGGAAGGGTGGGAGGCAGGCACAAAGTAAAACCATGTTACTTTGTTAAAATTAACTTCCCTTTTAGGTTTTCACTATTTGTAGCTTCATCTACACTCTAATTTTATTCACTTCATTCTTCACAAATGTCCTCTTTCATCTTGATTTCATTATGCTAGGGCTTTTAATTCCACGAAGTATGGTGTTAATAAAAGACGAGTGTTTGAACGGAGACCTATGAATCCACAAGAGGCCTACCGTTTGGGATAATGGGGGTATAAACTAGGTGGCTGCAATGGAGGAAAAAGAAGAACCATCAGAGTTCATTTCTGGACAACAGGGAACAAGTTTTAAGTTCCCAAATGTACAGATGTTTGCAGAGAAAACAGCTCAAGAATTGAGCAATGTTACAGACTTTCCGGAATAAAGCATATTGTCTTTGTCCTCAGAGAGTTCCTTCTTCTCTACTTCATGAGAGATGACCTACCCCCGATCTCTCCTTCGAGGATTCTCTCCACCCCATGTTAAAGAGGCTGTTACTATGTTGGTACAGGCTTGAAAGCAAGATGACCATCAAATTGTGCAATGGAAAAAAGGACTTTCATTTTTCTCCCATAGCTTCATCCAGGGGTATCCAACCTTTTGCTATCTCTGTGTTACACTGGAAGAAGAAATGTCTTGGGCCACACAATAAAATCCACAAACACTAATGAAAACTAGTGAGCAACAAAAAAAAAAAGGTTTTAAGTAAATTTATGATTTCGTGTTGGGCCACATTCATAGCCATTCTGGGCTTCATGCGGCCGGTGGGCTGGACACCCCTGGAAGGTCTATTATGGACGAATTTCTTTGGATTTGGCTTTGCACAGCAATTTCCTACCTGAATCTATACACCATTAATTTTTTCTAAGATATCTAAATAATTAATATCAATTTTTCACACATTCTTTGAAAAAAATAGAAGAGGAGACAGAACACTTCCCAACTCATTCTATGAGGCCAGTATTATCCTGAGACTGAAACCAGGTGGAGACATTACAAAAAAATGAAAACAACAACAAAAACTATAGCCCAATATCCTTTATGAACATAAATGCAAAAACCTTCAACAAAACATTAGCAAACTGAATCCAAGAACACATAAAAAAAGAACTATACATTACTTCCAAGTGGATTTATCCTAGAAATGTAAAATAATTTTAACACAAAACCAAGCAATGTAATAGTGTATTAAGTATTGTGTATTTTGTCTTATTAAAAACAAAAATCACATAATCAAGCCCTGGCTGGTGCGGCTCAGTGGATTGAGCACTGGCCTGCAAACTGAAGGGATGCTGGTTCGATTCCCAGTCCGGGGCACATGCCCAGGTTTCAGGCCAGGTCCCTGGCTGCGGGGGTGTGAGAAGAAACCAGTCGATGTATCTGTCACAAATCAATGTTACTCGCCCTCCCTTCTCATCTCTCTAAAAAATATAAATAAAATTTCAAAAACCACATAATCTCAATAGACTCAGAAAAAGCATTTGACAAAGTCCAATGCCTCTCCATGATAAAAAACACTTAATGAAGTATAAATAGAAGAGATCTTCAACGTGATGAAGGGCATGTATGAAAAACCCACAGCTAACACCATACTTAATAGTGAAAGACTGAATGTGTCCCCTCTAAGATCAAGAACAAGACAAGTATGTCTTGCCCTTGCCATTTCTGTTTGAAATTGTACTGGAGGTTCTAGTCAAGGTAATTTGGGAAGAAAAAGAAATGAAACACATCCAGATTGGAATGGAAGAAGTAAAACTATCTCTGTTTGCAAATGATATTAATATATCCTGTATACAGAAACTTAAAGAATCCAGTATCAGTTTGAACTAATGAGTTCAGCAAGGTTGCAGGATACAAGACTAACACAAAAACCATCTATTTCTATGAACGGTATGAAAATAAAATGTGCTGAAAGCTATAAAACATTGTTGAAAGAAATTAAAGAATACCTAAACAAGTAGAAAGACATATGTTCATGGTTTGGAAGACAAATATTGCTAAGATAACAATACTCTCCAAAGTGATCCACAGATACAATACAATCCCTATCAAAATCCTAGCTTGCTTTTTGTCAGAAATTGACAAGCTGGTCATAACATTCATATGGAAATGCAGGGACCCAGAATAGCCAAGACAATCTTGAAAAACAACAAAGTCGGAGGACTGGTTCTTTCTGATTTCGAAAGTTATTATGCAACGGCATTAATCAAGACAGTGTGGTACTGGCATAAGGACAAATGGAATTGATTAATGGAATAGAACTGAGAGTTTAGCTATGAACCCTCAGGTTCATGGTCCACTGATTTCTGTTAACGGTGTCAAAACAATTCAATGGGGGGAAAGAATTGCTTTTCAGCAAACAGTGCTAGGGCAACTGGATAGCCACTTAGAAAAGAATGAACTTGGACCCCCGTTCCTTACACCATACATAAATGAACTACAATGGACTATGCAAGGGTGTCCAACCTTTTGGCATTTCTGCGCCACACTGGAAGAAGAGGAGGTGTCTTAGGCCACACATTACATATACTGCAACACGTAACCACAAAAAACTCTCATAATGTTTTAAGCAAATGTACGATTTTGTGTTGGGCCACATTTGTAGCCATCCTGAGCTCTCAGGCGACCCTCACGCTGCAGGTTGGACACCCCAGGACTATACAGAGTTAAAACTATAAAATTTTTAAGTAGAAAACATAGGAGTAAATCTCTGTTAGCTCAGATTAGGCAATGGTTTCTTAGGTGTAACAACAAAAAGACAAGTGACCAAGGAAAAAATAGAAAAAATGGATGTCAAAATTAAAAACCTCTGTGCTATGAATGCTATCATTAAGAAAATGAAACGAAAAAAAACCCATACATTTAAAAAATTTTAAAAAGAAAGTAAATAGACAATTCAAATAAAGGGAGAAAATTTGTGAAGCAAGTACAGACATATACAGGGGTGGGCAAAAAAAGGCTTATAGTTGTTCATATGGAAAATAACACAATAATAAAGACTAATACAAGAATAAACGGTGTTCCACATACTTGCAACTGTAAACTTACTTTGGCCTACCCGTGTGTTACAACAGGGATGAATTTGAAAATGGTTCACCGAAGGAAAGAAGCCAATTCCATAGGCAGCTCTATAGAGACTGAAAACGGGTTAGTGGTTCCTAGGGCCAGGAGGGTGGATGAATGGAGAACGACAGCTCACGGGTACAGGTTTCTAACGGCGGTGATGGAAAGGCTCTACACTTAGATTGTGGTGGTAGTTGCATAATTCTGTGAACATACTAAAACCACTGAATTATATACTTTCACTGGGTGAATCTGTGATGTGTGAATCATTGCTCAGTAAAGATGTTACACTTTTCATGTCGAAGAGTCAGAGAGCCAGTTGTCAAGGATCCTAAAAGGTCGGAGCTTTGGAAGAGGTCTGATTGAGAAGAATAGGATTTGGAAGGGTATTTAATGTGAAGCAGATTCATACAGTAGTCTATTCTTTTGTTACTTAGCAAAGAGAAAGGTAAGAAATGAGGAACAGAGATCAGTATTCACATAATGTGACAATCTGCAACCTAAGCAGTATAAGAGAAAATATATATAGTGTGGCAAAGAAACACACATATATTTTTACAAAAGTATATATTAAATTAGTTAAGTGCGACTTTTCTAAGCAGTCACCTTTGGAAACTATGAGCAAAAGCCTGAACTTGAGCTGTTTAGAGCTAGGTAAGAGCCCAAGAAAGTGTGTCATATGTTTGTTTCATTTGATTCAAGACTACTACCTATTACTCTATAAACTATTATTCTAAAGCTCAGCCACACATTTATTCAGACGTGGCTCTGCTTTTAGGAGGTATTTACAAAAACACACTCAAAGAATAATGACTGAGTTCAACTGAGAATATTTGAAAGAATGTGTTAAAAACTAGTTCAAAGTGTCGATATAATTCATCTTAAAGCTGCAAAGTTTTTTAAATAAAGAATGCTGTGAGTTTTCAAAATCAGGCAGTTTCATGCTAAAATCACAACTACATAGTAAAGTGTGAACTCTTCCTTCCATCTCTGCGAATGCTGTCGGAGTCCTTTCATCCTTCCGCTGAACTACTGTAACTAACTGGTTTCCAGCCTCACTCCTGCCCTCTCAGGTCCATTCTCCATAAACAGCTAGAACAACATTACTGAATTTAGAACCCTCTACACCTGCACTTGGTCTGATCCCCGTGGGCCTTCCCCCTGCTCACAATGCCGTCAGTGGCTTTCAAGGATTGGGGAGCATGCTAAGCTTGTTCCTGCCACCGGGTCTCTGCACTGGCTATTTCTGGTTCCTGGAATGCTTTTCCCCGCTCCTTGCTTGGCTGGCTTCTTGTCATTTAGATCCTAGGGTAGACATCACTCCTCTGAAAGAACCTCTCAGACTATACAGTTATTTATCACATCATAGTATTTCAATTCTCTACACAGCAACCCTTCTGATGTCTATCTCTTACTTGCCACTCTACCTTTCTATGACAAAATGTTTCAGTAAACACTCTTTCCTCCAATGCCCAGGACAGTATTTGATACTAAACACAGACCTCACAGAATAAACTAAGGACTACTCTAGATTTCAGTAAAATCATTAAAACTTGAACACTCCCAAGTCTGTTAAAGCAGATTTCCAAAAATTTCTATAGTATTTGTCTATAAAATACATTACTACCCCAAATTCAATCTGTAGAGACATTCTCTTTCCTCTAATTTTTAAGCTGGAAATCCAAAAGTACTTCACACTACTTAGTAACATTTTACTTACTCTGGGAGGAGTTTATAGCTCTCCAAATCAATTTCTGGAAAAAATGTGTCACTTTCAAATTCCTTCATGATCCTGGTCACAAACAGTTTCAGATGGCCTGGCTTGGTCATGGCTTCCTTTGAAACAAAACAAAAGTCATCAATTTCCTTATGTATCTGTGTCAAAAGACATAGAAGCACAAGATTTTTGTTTGTTTTAATAATGTAGTCAAGTTTGTACTAGGTATTAATACATGCTATATAACCTGTTACCTCCAGAATGCTATTTAAATGTCCTGTTCATTACTTTGGAGCCCTTGCAAAGTATGCCTTCTTTATGTTGAGAATGGCACTAATCATTATCAATAATTATGAGAGTGAGTTAAACTATATTGTGGCCTGTAGTTAGCTTACATGAACTCTTTTTTCATTTAAGCATTCAGTTTTGTCTTTTTTCTTTGGTGGTTGCTTAGGAAATAAGAACCCTGAATTACCTAGTTACTGGCTATGGAAAATTTACATATGCATACATGGATAATAGTATAATTTCATGAGACCTTGACTAATGAAAATCCCAAGGGCATACTTAGTAATTTACACAAAATTTAATAATGCTTTCATTTCCCAGGAGATAGTTAGAATGCTTGTACGTAATTTATTCTGCCTCTTGTTGCTAATGATTGTATTTTGCTTCATATTGTTAATGACTTTTCTAATTACTGCCTATAATACTGTTGATACAAAGTCATGAGTCCTAAGTGCAGCTCCAAGAAAGCAATAACTCTTGATTGAAAAAGAAAAAATATATATACATACATATGTAAATATAATCTCAAGTGTTTGTTATCTTTAAATTTTCAAATAAGGGCATTAAAGAAATTTTACTTTTTATTTTCAATTCTACAGCTGATAGTATTACATCATTTATTCTCTTGCCTCAAACAAATATTCTACCAATTCTTGCTATACCAAAAAATAGGAAAATTGAATAGGACTAACCACAGCAGCATTTGAAAGTCTGTATCAAATCTAATGATGTAAAGGGTCAGATGGTACATATTTTAGGCTTTGTGGGCCATATGGTTTCTTTTACCTTTCAGGCAAAAGCAGCCAAAGACAATACTAAATGAACGGCTGCAGCTGTGTTCCAATGAAACTATATGTACAAAAACAGGCTAGTAGGCCCAGTTTGGCCCATGAGAAGAGCAGCCTAAATGTTCTACTAGCTCTTGCGATGTGAGGTAGGTAGATAGTGCAAAATTATAACCTGGAGATTCTACTTTCTTATTATTTACTGTGAATGTATCAAATTATATAAATAAACTTAAGCATTTATATTGTTTAAAAGGTTGTAGAAACAGAACCTAAGAAACACAGTTTTTTTGTAATCCCACCTAAGATCCTGGTATACTTCTTTTTCCCTCAAATGATTTCAGTGTATATATGTTACCATAAGCTCACAAAGGGTAGGGACTGATCTTTTCCCTCCCTATAAATGTTAATCTTTCATGAGTGTTTTAAAAGAGTAAGAAAATTCCTTTTATTATCCTCAAAATTTCTGAAAGCTGCAAGTCAAGAACAAGGAATATCTTCTCTTTTACCTACTGTTTTCCCTTATGATATAAAATAATATAATACCCTTCCCCTCCCCTCACATTAGATGAAAATTGTTGAGGCAATGTTTTCTGCTTTTAACGAACTTACACACATCTAGTCAGTGTACGTCAACTGAGAGCTCCATCAGTAAGAGGTGTATTCATCCTTGAAGAAAAGGGCATAACTCAGTGTATCAAGGCACATCCAGGGAAGAGAAAGTGGTACAGTCCAAGTACATTTCTCAGGGAAGGATTCAGAATGTTTTTAACATTGAAACATCAACTATCTTGTATTGGAAATAAACTGGTACTGGTGAAGACTTATATAGTTTTATTTATAGTAGTATCATTTTTGATAGCATCAAAAAAGTCTAACTTACTGTAGGTATAATGTGCTTCCTTTGCTCATTACTTAAAAAGTGCAGATGGCAGGGAAGCTGAAAGAAAGTAGAGAAGAACACTTCTTTGTACAATATTTACAGACAACTTTACTTACTTTATAAACAGAACTGCCTCCCACTATCCAAACCATGTCCACTTTATTTGTTAATTCTGGATCCTCAATCAGTTTTAAGGCATCATCCAGACTTCTGGCAAGAAAATGAGCTCCTTTTGGAGGTTCCCTGAGGTCAACCGAAAAAAAGACATATAATTTCTACAAAAGCCATTTGTACTAGTCAGGTAATTTGTATAGGATGTAATAATTATAAAGATAAAATCATCATAAATATGAACCCTTGAATACTTTCAACAAAAACCAGTAAACATCAGAATGGCCTATTACCAATAAATAATTTAACCCACATTTGTGTATATATGGTCCACAATGAATCATAAAACAAAGTACTTCTGATATCTTGAGATATCTGTTGTGGAAAAAAATTAGAACATAGTTATCACTGGAGGGATGGAATAAAGATTTGCTGGGAAGGGGCATAAGGTATCTTCCTAGGGCTTATGGTAATTTTTTTCTATGTTTGATACAGGGTTCTATAGGTCCATACGTTTGTTATAACTTAGCAAATGTACCCTTAAGACTTGTATATTTCATTGTATGTAATATTCATCTCAAAAGGAAAAACTGTAAAGAAATATTGAACTCTAGTTAAGGCTGTACATGCTGAAGTATTTAGGGGAAAACATACTAATGTCTGCAATTTACTTTGAAATGCATAAAAAGAACAAGAATAATTGAAGGATGATGAATGATAAAGCAGGCATAGTAAAATGTTAATGGTAGAATCTACATGGTGGCTATTCAAGTGTTTACTGTAAAGTTTTTTACATTTGAAAGTTTCATGATTAAATGTTGGAAAAAGTAATATGCTTGAGTGACTAGCTCGAGATGATATTCAAACTGTTAATAAGTCTTGAGTGGGTAAAGAAATTTCATGTTTCAAATAATACAGAAATGGGTGAAGTATTAAAAAATGAGCATGTTATTACTTTTGTAATTAAAAATCCAAAAATGAACTGGCAAACTAATTTCAGGGTGTACATTGAGTCGCTCTTTCTCTCCCAAGCTCTACGACTGTTTTTTTGGGTGGAGGGTTGCGATTCCCTTTATAAATGAGAGACATGCAGAATGAGGCTTTCATCCTTTCAGCTGCTTCCTCCCTCACCTCCTTGACACATATTGTACTTTGCTCTTTGTGATCTCTAAAGGAGTTAAGATTGCAAAAGAATATATTTGAGTAAAGGCTGGAAAACGACTTGGGGGCCAGGGTGAACTTAAAAGAGCGAAGGGCTCCTCTCAGGTGCCAGGGCAGCCGCAGTGAGGAGGTTGGACCACACTGTTCAGGGGGAGAATGGAATCCAGATGTGAAACTGATTTGGAATTGGGGGAGAAGATAGTCTAGTTAATAAACAATATCTAGAATAACTGAAACAGAATCAGGGTGGTTTTAGTAACTGAGGATGTTGAGATCAGGACTAATGACAGGAGATAGGGTAGAAAGGAAAATGGTTGACAGATTTACAAGATGGAATAAAAGGGTGTGGACTTCAAAGAAAGGGAGCAATCATTTTGTGAAGACTGGAACAATGGCTTGAAAATGGTTCAAGGGATTAAGGTAAAGACTACTACTTTGTTCTTTTGTAGTCAGTCTGGAAAAGAAAAACAGAACAGATTAAGGGATTTATTTAACATTTTAGTTATAACAAAGGCATGGAGGAAATGCTTCTGCCAACTGTTGCTATTTAGGAATTTAGAAATAAGTTTCAAGGGAAACACTGGACTCCCAGATGGAGAGAAAAGAAAAAGCAAAAAGTTGAGCTAATGTTTGAGTTCATTATTTCCTATAGAGCACAAATCTCAGAAACTAACACAGTCAAAAACAGAGCCAACACTTAATATTTGTCACTTATTTCATTGCTACATTTCCATCCTATAATTATTTCAAACCAATAGAGATTGGATTCCCTGCCAATGGAGAGTTGGTATGTGGTAGCATACAAATTTTGTGTCAAGAAGTGTGTGGACATACTTGATACCTTGTTTCAAACTTAGAGCCTTGAATGCCCTCAGAGCTAGGCATAAAAATTTATAGCAGAAGGCATTCCCATCATATCATACTTCCCTATCTTCCTTAAAAGCACTATTCAAGGGAGGCTGCTTGTTACCTGATGGATAGTCATATTATTAGAAAGAAAACATCTAACATTTATTGAAGTGCCTATCTGCTCTCTCAAGTAGTGGGATCAGGCAGTGCTTTACACGCACTACCATTTCATGTTACTAGCAGCCCTATGTGGGTACATGGGACGTAGGCACATTTTTACAGATGATATCGAGGCAGACAGGTTAGGTAACCAATGGTCACAAAGGTAGGACATGGTGATGCTTGGATCCTTCCCCTCTCTCTAAAAATAATAAAATCTTAAAAAAGATAAAAGCACTCTCTATACCAAAAAAGATGGCAAAGGCAGGCACAGAAATGTCTTAGCAGTGGCCATAAATTGAAAAAAACAAGCCATGGAGATGTGTGGAGGATGCTAAATGGGCAAAGAGATGGTGCATCACCTGGGTGGTGTGATGAGGGAGAATACTCCTTGGAGTATGGTCCCTTAGTGGAGTCTCGAAGGAGATTAAAACATGTGCAAAACACAGAAGTGACAGACTACCAGACATTATTGAGGCTTATACTAAAGTTACTAAACTTATTTAACACAAAAAAGCTCCAAGGAAGTTGAGGGTAGAAGAAAAACAATCTGTGGTAAGGTTTAAAAGGTTTAAAGGGTAAAGGGTGCCCTGGCTGGTGTCGTTCAGTGGTTTGGGCACCGGCCTGTACAATGAGAGGTCGCTGGTTAGATTCCTGGCCAGGGCACCTGCCTGGGTGGCAGGCCAGGTCCCTAGTTGGGGGTGTGGCCACCAATTGATTACACACGTTGATGTTTCTCTCCCTTTCTCTCTCCCTTCCCCCCTATAAAAGTAAATACATAAAACCTTAAAAAATAAAATAAAATAAAATAAAATAAAATAAAATAGTAAAGGGTAAGACAACAGAGTAAGGTCCTAAAGACAGAGAAAACTGAAATCTAGAATAAAGCAGTGGGAGTGGGGAGAGGACTGATTTTAACAGAAGGGGATTTTTTTTTTCTTCCTTGTCTGAAGATTGAGGGAAAGAACAAAGTGATATGTTAAGGTGAAAATGATGGTATCATGAAACAGTTCACTGTGCTCTCATTAATATTAATATTTTCTATAGGCTATAAAGTAAGGTAATTTTGCTGAATTAGCAATGGTTGGGGGAGTAGGACCCAACAATCTGTAGGGTGCCTTCTGTGTGCCAGAAATTTATAATGTAAAATGTCAGTCAGTCCTCAAAATTGCCCTAAGACAGTCATTACTAATCCCATTTAGCAGATAAAGACAGTGAGGTTTGGCAAGGCTTGAAGTTAATAAAGCCTAAAACCACAAAGTTAATAGATGCCAGGGCAGAAGCCAGAGGTTAAATCTTTGCTATGCCATACGTGTGAGTGGGGGGAAGGGTACCACAGCTTTAAGAGGAGAAAGTTTTAATCACTGTGGAGAATATGATAGTGAGACCACAGAAAAGTGTTACCTAACAGGAAATGTTAGATAATTTTTGGGCTAAAGACAATTTATAACTTGTTTCATGGAGACAATTTTGGATTTCCTAGAGGTGCTGTCAAAGCATTGCAGTAAAGTTTCTAATTTTTGGTTCCAAGGATCTTAAAAAATGCTCTATTGAAAGAGATATCACATGCTATACAATTTACCCTTGTAAAGTGTACAGTTCAGGTAACTTTTTAGTATGTTCATAGAGTCGTGCAACCATCACCACTGTCTATTTTCAGAACATTTTCATCACCCTGAAAAGAAATCCTGTACCTATTATCAGTTGGTTATTCCCTATTTCCACCCCGCCTCCCCGTCTCTGTGGATTTGCCTATTCAGAAATTTCATAGAAATGGAATCGCGTGGTCTGTTGTGTCTGGCTTTTTTCAATTAGCATACTGTTTTCAAGGTTCATCTGTGTTGTAGCAGATTCTCCTTTTTAGTGATGAATAATAAATATTCCATTGTATGGACATAGCACATTTTGTTTATCGTTCATCAGCTGATGAGCATTTGGGATATTTCCAATTTTTGGATGTTAGTTATGATGCTGCTATGAATATCTGTGTACAAGTTTTTGTGTGATTATATCAATATGTTTTCATTTCTCTACCAAGGAGAATTGCTGGGACATATAACTCTGTTTAACCTTCTGAGAAAGTGCCAATCTGTTTTCCAAATGTGGCTGAACAGCATTTCTTTTAAAGCCACAACTTGACAGTGTAGAAAGCCATGGAAAAGCTTTTCCCCCGCTAGAACTTATTAAGGAAGTAGTTACCCAAAATAACTAGTATGGGGCAGGAAATTTTGGGATTATCTTGAGAATTCAATTTCTTCTCATGCTCGGGTGAGGGTAGTGGTGAGAGGCTCTCTCTCAAAACTTCTGGGAGCAATAGCATTTACACGTGGGAATCTCTCTTCTTATTCGGGACCCAGCAATGTCTGGGACATAGCACGTGCTCAGGGCAAGTGTGGAGATGACTGGCAATTGACCCCCAAAGCAGAAGGAAGGATAAAAAATAAACTCTAAATTTTTTCCCTGATATCCCCATATCCTTGCCATCCTTGATAATAAAGACTTTAAATTCTCTCTCTGCCAAATAAATAAAAAGCGAAATATACCAACAAATGTTATATATAAATATGCAAGGTCTGTCCAGAAAAAGTCTAGACACTGTTAATATGAGAACGGTTTGCACGACATCGATGTAACCTGGCAGCCAAGGAGAGTGGACTGGAATGTACATGCATGAACAATAACAACTTCACTGTACTAGTCAGTGGGGGTGATAGACGCCCTTGAGTGAGCATGTGTACTCTGGCCGTTGCATTCACAGTGACTGAGTAGAGCAACAAATCTGCAGCAAATTTTGCATTAAGCTTGAGCATTCCTCTATGAAAACTATTCAGATGATTCAGAAGGCTGCAGCTATGGGCAACTGGCAATTGGCAGCTTCATCACAACATAAATGCGCCTGCTCATTTATCATGTCTCATGCAGTTTTCTGGCAAAACATCAAATCACCCAGGTGACTCAGCCCCCCTACAACACAGATTTGGCACCCTGAGACTTCTGGTTTTTCCAAAAACTAAAATCACCTCTGAAAGGGAAGATATTTCAGACCATCAATGAGATTCAGGAAAACACGATGGGGCAGCTGATGGTGATTGGGAGAAATGCCTGAGGTCTCAAGGTGCCTATTTTGAAGGGGACAGAAACGTCATTGTCCTATGTACAATGTTTCCTGTATCTTCTTCAATAAATGTCTCTATTTTTCATATTACATGGCTGGATACCTTCTGGACAGACCTCGTATAATAAACAACCAAACTCAGTTACACATACCACAGAGGGGTCATAAAGAAGAAATTAGACTCATCATTTGCAGAGATTTGCTGGCTCAACTGAACATCTCGCCCACTGAGATTTCTTTATGTTTGTTTCAGCTTAAGCTAGCCATAAATAAACTTGAGTAGTATTCAAGAATATGTTATTAAAGAATCTCTGAAAATGGCAATACAGTGTGTTATTTGGATCCTACCAAGTAAAAAGATAATCAGAATATCCTAGCAACCAGGAGAAAGAGAAGAGTATAAAGACAGGCAGATGGCAAGATGCATACCAACATATTCCTCATCACCCAAAGACAATCACAGTGCAAGTATTCTGGTACATTTTCATTGAGTTTTTACCTATGCCATTCTAGGAGGGATCTGGGAGAAAAATCTGCATAAGTCTGAACCCCCTTAGCCTGTAACTGTGCAATGTTTTCTCCTTCCTATGGTGTGATGGTCTTTGATGTGTTCACTTGGCTAGGCTATAGCTGTCAGTTACTCAGACACTATAAAGTTGCTATTTGGATAACGTTAATCTAGATAAGCCTAGGTCAATCCATTGAAAGGCCTTGAAAACATATCTGAGGCTTCCCTGAAGAAATTTCACCTGCAGACATCAGCTTCAGCCTTTGGAGAGTTCCAGCCTTCCCTTCTGGGTGGCTTGCCATTCAAATTTTGGACTTTCCTAGCCAGCCCCCACAACTGTGTAATCCAATTCCTTGTGAGATATTTTTTATGATTACATTCTTTGTATTGAATATATTAGTAGTTTAATAAACAATGATTACCATGCCAATCCCAAACTTTTCCTTAAATTCTAATCCAGGCCAACCACCCCTGAAACAAGACATATGAGGCTCAGAAAATTATTTTAGTGGATTAGGATCCATGTAAACAACAAAAATTATAGAAATCAGGATATACTGCATGTTGTAAATGACATGGAAGCTATGGTGAAGTTAAAAGCACTGGAGTTGACTTCATGGGTAGTTTTAATGCTATTGACTCTCCCCACCCCCCAACCTTTCCACGTTTCGGTTATTTCCAGGTACCAGGAACTGAATATGTCAGCTTGGAGGACAGAAAAATTCTCAGCAGAGGCCCCTGGACATACTCCCTTCTTCTAGGATCTCTAGGAACTATTTCAATATGCTGAAATTTTTTATCTACAGACACAACGTAAAGAATGAAAGTACAAAATACTATATAGGTATTTTGGTAAACTAGGAATAATATGACACAAGATCATGACAAATGTTTTTGCCCATCTTAAAATTTATATCTAATTGCATTTAGGGCTGGGTCTAGAGGTAGCAACTTAATTTTGGCAAGTCCCCAAACGTATGTATTTTGATTTTCTTTGAAACAGAAAAGTTATTAATTTACATTATACAACTGATATTTGACCGTACTGAGAATTAAATAATGGTTCAAGGAAACCTGCAATTCTGTTACCATAGTGAGATTTAAGGTGATGAAATCAGTCCCTTAAGTAGCAGAATAAGTTGTTATGTGGCATAAATAAGTGCTTATTCATTTTCTGCAATCACCTACATGATATTAAGCAGCTTCATCAAAAGCCATATTCATAGTATTTTATTTTGACATCTGTTGACCTCTAACATAAGAAATGGGACATAATTTTTTGGGGTGAGGGGGTAAATTTGTTTTATAATACTTACTTGAGTTCTCTACTGAGAACTAAATTAATCCTGTCCTTTAAAGGTCGATTCTTCTCAGGAATGGAGAACCAGGTCTTCTTACCCATAATCACCAAATTCTGTTTACCTATAAAATCACACAGAAAGAATAGGTATATTTTAGAAATATGAATTTTCATATATTTGTATGTATGCATACATGTAATTGTTATATTGACATCTAGTGGATCTGCTTTAAAAAAATTAAAAATTTTAACAGCTTTACCAAAATTTAGTCTTTACCACCCATTATCTAAATATAATAATTATTCTTCCTTTTGGCTTTATCCAACTTATATGCAATACAGTTTCAATCAGTTGTTGTCTCGTATACTAGTGAAAAGCAAAGGCTCTGAGTCAAAGTGTTCAAATGGAATGTATTCTGTTATCTACAGAGCAAGTCATGGTAATCTTCTGTGCCTTATCCATATTTATAAAATGGAGGTAACATACAGGGTGGGGCAGAAGTAGGTTTACAGTTGGTCATATGGGAAATAATACAATAATTAATAGATAACAATACAAGAATAAACTGTGTTCTGGGTACTCACAACTGTAAACCTACCTTTGCGCCACGCTGTAGTTTCTATTTCTAGTATTGTGGAGACTAAAGACTTAGAGCAATGTCTGAGATCTAAAAAGTACTGTGGAACTGTTTGACGTAACAGTACTCATATTTGTATACTTTGTAGATTTACATTAACAGTCACACCTGCTTAATATCCCACTCAATTTGTTTAAAGTACTTCCAATTTGTGCCTCTTTCCTTAAAAACTTTATACACATAGCGTCCATTTTTGGTTTAATTATTTAGAAGAAGAAGAGCTTATGAGTCAGATACCTGGATCAAAGGAACTTACGCACTTCTGATTCTTGGTATGTTGTGGCAGATGACTACCAAAAGGAGTGCATTTATCTGTTTTCTTTTTACAGATTTTATTTAATTCTAAGTAATGAAAAGCAAAGGCCTGCAACCATGACTGCTCTACCCAGCAAGGTACTCAATTAAAATGGAAGGTGAAATAAGGAGTTTTCCAGACAAAATGAGGCTAAAATAATACACCTTCACCAAACCAGCATTGCCAGATATGCTAAAGGGACTGCTTTAAGAAGATGAAGAAAAAGAGTCTATGAATTCCCAGTTCTTTTCACCGCCACCAATACTTGATATCACCAATATTTTTAATATTTATTAATCTGATTGTGACAATGATGTGTTATTTTGTTACTTTATTTGTTGAAACTAAACCTGTTTTTGTATATTTCTTGCCTATTTCTAAAGAGCTTTAAATGACCTTTTGATATTCTTTATCCATTTTTTGATTAAATGTTTGTGGAATTTTTTCCTAAAAAACCCCTAAAAACCTACTAACCCTTTTTTAGATGTGTTGCAAATACTTTCTTATTCTATTACTTGTCCTTTAACTTTTTTATATGTATTTTACTATATAGTTTAAAATGTTTAATATAGTCATATTGTCAATATTTTACTTTATAGCTTCTGGGTTTGAATATTTGACTTCAGGGTAAGAAAAATACTATTTTGTATTTTCTCCTAAAGTTCCTTAGATTTTACTTATTGATGTTTAACTCACCTGAATATTGTTTGTATAATGTGTGAAATATGGCTCTGTATTTGTTTTATTTCAAGTAATAGTCCATGCACCTTATTTGTTGAATAAGCCTTATTTTCTCCATTGATTTGAAACATCAATTTAATCATAAATTACATTGTTAGATATATACATTTGTTTCTAGAATGCTCATTTTATTTCATTGATCTACTTGATTATTTCTGTGCTGGTGTCATGTTGTTTTAAATGCTGAGACTTTATAATAGATTTAAATTTTTTAATATTTTATAATGGATTTTGACATTTAAAAAAATAAATAAAATCAATCTGTATTAAAAAAGAAAAAGAAAAAAGAAGGAACTCCTACCTTTTGCGACAACATGGATGGAACTGGGAAATATTATGCTAAGTGAAAGCCAGTTGATGAAAGACAAATACCACCTGATCTCACCTATAAGTGGACTCTATTCAACAAAATAAACTAACGAACAAAATAAACCACAGGCATGGAAACATGGAGCAGGCTGAAAGTGACCAGAGGAGATGGGGAAGGAGGACAATGGTGGAAAGAAGGAGAAGGGACTAAACAAAGAACATGTATGAATGACCCATGGACATGCACAACAGAGTGGGAATTGACTGTGGGAGAGGGAGGTGGAGGAGGGCAAAGGGGTAAAAATTGAGACAACTGTAATAGAATAAACATGACTTAAAAATAAAAAAAATAAACAAAAAAGGATTTTATTTATTTATTTGTGGGCAGAGGGGAAGGGAGAAAGGGAGAGAAACATCAATGTGTGGGTGCCTCTCGCATGGCCGCTACTGGGGACCTGGCCTGCAACCCAGGCATGTGCTCTGACTGGGAATCAAACCTGAGACCCTTTGATTCCCAGGCTGGCTCTCAATCCCCTGAGCCACACCAGCCAGGGCCATTTATCTTTTTTCTTAATGAATCATTATTAGCTTGATTTTTTAAAAACAAAAACACTAATATTTACAAGCTACAAGTACAAAGACTAGGCATTTTTCCATACTTTGTTTCCTATTACCAGACTACTTAAGATTCCAGAGGGTGGTTCACATCAATTCTTTAGCTTCAAGCTCTTGCCATCTTGTCTTTATCAGTGACCTAAGTGCCAACTTCCTATCTGTTTTGTTAAAGTTATGCTGCACTTGCTCCTTTCTGATTATTTCCCTGTTTACTCTGCTGTTACGCCTCCTATGACCAAATATACATCTTAGGTTTTAAATGGGTATCCTCCAACCCCATATTCTTGGTTATCCTCTTCTCGCTCCAGTGTCTCAATTCACCTAGTACTGTATTTCTGAATATCCTACAAGCACCTCAAAAGCATTATAATTGCACACAATTCTCCATATCACCCAGACCCTTAAGCTGAAAATATGAGAGTTCATCCTTGATGCCTTGCTAGCATTACCTTTACGTTCTTGATTTCCAAATCGAGTATCATGAAACCGTTCTTCGGACTTTTATCCTCTCCACTGCCTTCGTTTAGGTTTCATCATCTCTCCTGGCTGCTATTCCAAAGGCCTCCTCTAGTGTCCAGTGCCAACCTCTACCCAGCTGCCAACTCTGCACAATACCTCAATTGTACGCGCGCCCACAGAAAATTTAAAAGAACTTATAAAAAAGTTTAATAAATAGTGGGAACTTCATACAGATAAGTGGTAAGACAAAAGGTTCCAGTTTAATGGAAAACTAAGTAAAATTTGCACTGGTAAGCTTACTTAAGCAAGATCCTTCGAAAACTTGTCACTTAAAAATCCCTCATTACCTTCTGCTGAAGTGTCCGTGGTCATTCTTTGGAAATACTTGAATTCATTCCTGCAAGTTAGAGAAACACACTGTTACTCAGAACGTTTTCCCGTGGGCTCCAGCTCTAACGTGCCCGACAAACGGTGCGCGGGACTTTGCTCGGAGGCAGGGCGCCGCGGGGGAAAATGCCTCGCTCGGCAGCAGGAACGGGACTGTAATCAATAATTTGGCCTCCCGGCTCCAGACGCGGAATAGAAGACCAGGCACAGCTCCTGGCAGGTTAGGTCGCAGGTCCAACCCCATTCTTCCGAGGCCAGTCGGCCCAGGGCCGCCAGGTCTGGCTACCTCGCTCAAGGTCACATTGCACCAGCCTCTGTCCCCTCACACCAACCCGTCCTTGGCCCGGCCTGCACCTGAGCGGGGGCCAAGGTAAGTCTCCATTCTTCCCAATGCCCATGTTCTGGGACACAGCGACGATGCAGTTTAGAGGACGAACCATGACAGCGGCACTAAAGCACTCCAAGCTTGCTGGCCACAACTGAATTCCCTCCAAAGTTTGGCGCGAAATTGTAGCCACCCCGCCCCCCTCGGTCCCATTTGTGCACGAGAGACCCCGCCCCCGCCCCGCCCCCCCGCCCCGGCGCACGGCAAATTCGCTACGTGCTCGCCCCCGAAGACACCCAGGAACTGGGGCCCGGGGCTCGCGCTACCGCTAGGCCCTGCCCCCGGGCTGTCACTCTCTGCTCAACGATGTCGCGCCGAAGGCCAGCCTCTGGTGGTGCGGCTGCCGCTGGCCGGTCCCTCCCAGGGCAAGCGGTTTTGAGCAGATTCTTCCATTCTACGGGAAGCCTGAAATCTACCTCCTCCCCCACGGGTGCAGCGGAGGACGCTGAACCCGACTCTGACTCCGCAGCGCCTCCAGCGTCCAGTTTCCAGCCTCAGTTACCGCCACACTTGGTGGGTTTGGTTTAGCACGGGGCGGGGTCAACGAGGAGAGGGGGCTGGGCAAGACGGGCGGGATCGTGCTTGTGGGTGGAGCGGGCGGAGGCTGGGCCCTTGCGAGAGAATTAGGGAGGTGATAGCCAGAAGAGAAAGGGGCGGGGTTCGGGCCTGTGGAGGTGCGGATAGTTAAGCCATCCTTCATCCTAAGTGTCATTCAAAAATTGTAGTTTCCCCATGGGTTAATAGACTTGAGGCCGAGAATCACAGAATCTTAGTGGCAGACCAGAGACGGAAACTCAGGGCTCCTCACTCCCATTCTGGTGAGGAGAGAGACGTGTGGGCAGAGGATACATCTTTTACCCTCTATCCTCCCTCTTTTCTTTTTTTTTTTTAACCTGGATTGAAGGTTGAAAAGCAGCTTTATTTATCTTATTTATATGGGTTTTGATAGGTGCCACTCTTCAACTAAGTAAAATAAATAGTTGTGGTTTTGTTGTGTTGTTTTTCTACCAGGGACACTGCCACAGGGGTGAGCCCTCATTCAGGGTCCCGGTACAGTGTTTCTCAAGCTGAGGATCAGGATTTCAGATTGGCTTTCGGCCACCCTCTAAGTTTTAATGAGGGTGACAGCTTGGCTACTTCAAAATCTTGTTCCCTTAATTTATATTTCCCCCCCATAGAGTGATTGGTTCTCTCCTGTTTTTGTTTTTTGACGATAGTCTACATTTTTATGAATTCACCAAGATTTTATTTTATACCCATCATTTAGAGGGTGTTTGGTGAAGGACATAAATTTTTGACAGGCTGCCTACGAACAAATATTCTTAATCTTGTGGCATCTTCAGTGGTGAACATAAGTCATAAATTACGATTAACATTTCAAAAATTATACGGCGTTTTCATTGCCTATCTGATTTCACCTCTAAATAAATACTTTTCTCTTGAAGGTATTTTATTAACATGTGTAAGTAGAGTAATTCAAGTTATATAATTTGAGATAAATGAAGGCTGACTGAGTACAGAAAGGTGGCAATTTAGTTCTAATTAATTCTAGCCGGGCTTGAGAGGCTGACACTCATGACCTGTCAGTCTCTACCTTGTTTTTGACGATGGTAAAAACGTTCACCCATAGGTCTTTTCAGAGCTCAGAGAAAGTGATTCTAGGAAGGAGGATGGCAAGGACCTTGCTGTCATTCAGGAATAAGGCTCAAATTATTTCACATTCATCATGTTTAGCGATTAGAGATAACACATCATTTTCTAACTTTCCTGTATAGGTTGCAGAAATTGACAGAAGTAAAAAGAGACCACTAGAGAATGATGGGCCTGTTAAAAAAAAAGCAAAGAAAGCCAAAGAAAAGGAAGGACAAAGTGATTCAGGAATGTCTGGGAACCCTGGTGAGTTCTGTGGTAATGATTTTTCAGTCTTACTGCCATGACTCTGATATTCTTGCATTATCCAGAGGGCAGAGGAGGCTGTTGTCAGAGTTGTGCCTTTTTTCTTTTTGTGGGGAAAGGTCTCCGTTGTGCTGAGAGGGGCCCCTCCCTGAGTGGTGGTGGTATGTAGGAGGTTGGGGGGGCGGCGATAAGAGCTGGAGTTACGCAGTTTGGCTGTAGTTCCCTCGAGCTGATTTATGTCCTGATTATAAACGTGAAACATGTTTGCTGTTAAAAAAAGCAATGCAGAAGTGTAAAAGGTAGGCAGTGGAAGGCCCCATGACCCCTCCCTTTCAGTGAGACGTACTGCTAATTTTGGGTTTTTAGGTTTCTTTATTTACACATATACATATGTACACACATAGAACCACAAAGTAATAATATTTATAACTTGTTTTATACCATATGTGCTAATTTGCAACTATCTTTTTTCCATTTGGCAGAACGTTTTGAACTATTTTCAATGTCAAGACATACAGATCTCCCCTGCCCTTTTTTAGCATGAAGTTGCTTTTTCTGTGTGCAAAGAGGTTTTGGATAAAACCACCATTTCTTAGGTCCTACATCTCTATAGGTGGTGTTGGATATATAGATGGGTGAGCAGATTTTCTCTGGCTTTTGGCCTCAGACAATTTGTGATAAGAGAAGATGGAAAATGCTTCTTTCTTCCTTATCCCCACACCTGAACCGACATAAGCCTTTCCGAACTGACGACAGCCCAGAAATGAAGCTTTGTGGAGGAATCTTCCTTGGCAGTGGTGGGCGTAGGGCAGTAGGGTGGGGAAGGATGATAAGGAGGAAGGCATGGAAGTGAGCCATCAAGGGGTCTCATGACACACACACATACACTCTGTCTGTCTGTCTGTCTGTCTGTCTCTCTCTCTCTCTCTCTGTCCCTAGGTCTACAATACTCCAGATCCAGCCAAGTGAACTCTGAAGCTTGGGGAAATTAGGCCATAAACATGGACATTTTTGATATATGAACTTGACAGTTTACTTTAAAAAAAATAATGGGGAGAAAAGGGGAGCAACCACCAGCCAGAAGAATTGCTGGCCACTTCATCTCAAGTTTTTTGTTCTTGTTTTTCTCAATCGCAGTTGACAGTATTATTTTATATTAGTTTCATGTGCACAGTATAGTGGTTAGACAACTGTATAATGTATGAAGCGATCCCCCGATAAGTCTAGTGCCCACCCGGCAGCATACCTAATTATTAGAATATTCTTTACATTCTCTGTGCTGTACTTTACATCCCCATCACCTCAAGTTTTTATAACATGTCAGTTTTAGATTCTCTTTCTTTTGCAAGACTTGCACCCCACCCCTATCCTGGGAAGTTGTTTTGTGTTCCTAGGAAGGAAGCCTTTGTGTAATATACAAACTTGTAAGAGTGATTCAAGTATATATTTTGAAAGGAAAAGAGCAATAGTAATAGGATGAATATATATAATTGAAGAGACTCAAATAGACATTTTTCTAGCTATGTGATTAATAGGAAATAAGATAAAGTGTACTTCTAAAAAGAGGTTTAAATAGAAATATGAAAAGTTTTAAACTTTTAGCAATGAACAACACACAACTCTTGCGCTCAGTGTTTTTGCTTTAAAAGGGAAGGTAAGAGATAGACGATAAGTGCAATCCCAGTTTCCTTATATGTAGTAGTAGCTACCTATATATATTGCTCTAAAGGGTAAAATACTGTTTTCTGGCATATAGCAGCTACCAGTAAATGATTGTTTCCCTTTTTTTATGGATTGATTGCATATGAGTAACTGGTAATTGGCAGGCTGTGGTAAGTGCTGTAGAGCAGCGGTCCCCAACCGGTTTGGCACCAGGGACTGGTTTTGTGGAAGACAGTTTTTCCTTGGACTGGGGTAGCGGTGGAGGGGAGAAGTGGGTATGGTTTCATAATGATTCAAGCTCATTCCATTCAAGCTCACCTCCGGCTGTGCAGCCTGGTTCCTAACAGGGCTGGACTGGTACCTGTCCACAGCCTGGAAGTTGGGGACCCTTGCTGTAGATAGATATGATCTTGCCACAGAAACACAGAGAAAGAAATGATTCGTAATTAAGCCAAGGAATTAGGAGAGCATTTCATGGGAAAGGTAAATTTGAGATGATTCTTGAGGTAACTCTTGATGAATGAGTGCAATTTTGACATGTGGAAATTGTGGGCAAGGCCATACTGGGGGAAAGTATAGCATGAGCTAAGCTGTGGAGGCTGGAAAGCAGGTGTGTCTGCAACAGCGGTCTGGTTTCCGTGGTGCAGTCCTGGTGTCAGCATCTTTAGGTCTTCCTCATTGAGCTGGTCAGGTCTCCCAGGCCAGAGTCTCTCCAGCTGTTGCCTTAGCGGATGGCTTTGTTCTGAAAGAGGTTCTCAGAGGAAGCTGCGTCTCTCAGCATACAGTGAGACTGCATCTCCATTGACATTCTTTTGGTTTAGGCACAGTACTGCATCTCAACTGTGCCTGTTTTTGCCTTTTCCAGAGAAATCTCCAATCCTCTGCTGATGGGAGAAAGGACAGCTGCCTTTGGACTTAGAGTAGAATAGGGGATCTAGGGATCAAATTACTTTGAACCAATCCTCTTTATTTTAGAACCTCCCTTTATTTCATTATCAGAGCTACTGGTGCCCTAATTCCTGAGCCTTTTAAGCATTTTGTGTTGTAAATACAGGATTGGTTCTTGGTTTCCTTCACTACTGATTTAGGATTTAGCTTTGAGGTGTGCTGAATTGGTTGTTGCTTATTCATTTCTCCTAGGTTCAGATATTTCATTTGCAATTCTCATTTCCTTTTCTTTATGGACTTATAGCCGTTTTTTTTTTTTTTTTTTTTTTTTTTTAAAGCTTAACCATGTTTCTAATGGAATTTTAGGAGTAAGTGAAATTAGAAATTAGATATATGGTTCAAGTATGCCATCTTTACCTTGAACCTACATTTCTTTATTTTTTTATATTATAGCTAGAGGCATTACTTTAGTACAAAACTCCCTCTTTAAAAACCTTATGCTGGTTGTGAATTGACATAATGAGACAAAACACTATTGTTTTATTTTCTTCTGATTTGCTAACTAAGGGCCAAGGAAATGTCTGAGGACCAGGACTGTTTTAAAGTCTCTGGAAAAACTGAAAGAATTCTGCTGCGATTCAGCCCTTCCTCAAAGTAGAGTCCAGAGAGATCCCCTTCAGGAGAGATTTGCAGTTCTGCCAAAA